TAACTTTCCACACATAACGTTGACGTCGACTATCAGATGTTAACAAAAGATAGCGGATTCTGTGTTTCGCCTTACCGAAGGGCCCGAAACCCTCCCCGAACCTGTTCACTCGAGCGAACTCTGGACCCGCAGCTTGACCGGCGACGAGATTCCACAACCACAACGCGTCCAGTCGTGCTACACCGAGCAACAACGCGCACTGATGCGACGCACACGCACTATGTGAAGGCTCACATATTGTTCGAAGGCTGGACCGACAACCGGCAACTAGTGGGCTCGATGGTTGATTCGAAGTCAGTCCAAGGGACCTCGGGAGGCTTAGAAGCAAGATAACTGCTTCTTTGCGAGTGTCGTCGTTGGAGTCGGTTACACGATTATCTAGAAGAAATGTTTACATTGCCTGTCAGCGCACTCCTCTTATTTCGTACGAGATACTTTGCTTTCCCTTGTTTTATATACCTACGTTACGAATCTACCATGTCGGCGCGAAACCATGTAGACCATACTCCTGTCATGTATCTCTATCAAAATACATTCGTATCTATTCATATCTAGATTTTCTTCCAGCTTGTTTACCGTTATAGTATCGTCGCAACGCGATTGTTGAGGTTATGGCGGAATAGGGCCAGGGAAGGGCAAAAAGAACAACAAGTGTTACACACTTTCCGCGAACGAGACACAGCGAGAATGCGCAAAGGGAAAAAGGAAGTCAACATCGCCTGCCTAAGCTGCTGCTCTTAGGTATCTGGACAAAGAAAAGAAGTGGCGGTGGCAGCTGCAAAAGAATAGGGCAAAAAACAAGACAAGGTAACTACAGACCAATCTAAACCGAACTTTGCCCCAGGGAAATGGATCCCCTAGACACAAAGCAGATTCGAACCGGCGCACTTCCTAAACGAGAACGGACTGGGACAACGGACATGGGACAAATGTTGTATAGGCAGGTCGGAGACCACTATACCGAGTCTTGTAGGAGATATCTCAAATAATAGACTTTATATAGATGGTTTGAATTCCAATATGCCAATATTTGGCTGTTCGAATCGCAATATACAGTGTGTGGGTGGGCAGTGAAGCCAGTGAAGGCGGGAGTGAGTCGGCGGGGCGGGGGCGGGTTCAGTGAAGGGTTGTGTGAGTGAGTGCAAGCACGCAATCGAGAGTCAGTACGATCTTTCACTATCTGATGATAGCGGAGATAGTGAGACAAACCGCGGCGAACAGGTTGTTAAACTAGCCTCTCCAGGACCCTACTTCGATACGTGTGTTACTCGATCCATTATCTCTGGTAAAGACTCACGACTACGGGATTTGTACAGTCGCAGTCGAAAGAGCCTGCAAGAGTCTAGCTCCAGACGCACTATTGGTCGCAAGTGGGAAGTCGAGCCCTTCGCTAATTATTGAGTAGACATTGTCACGATTGAAACGCTTGCGAACTTAACGCAGCAGCCTTCGCCTTCCATCCTTACGCAGCCGTTCAAGACTACTGCCTTGGTATACCGATTTTGATCAACTGATTACGAGACGAGGCTTTGTAGCTGCCCGCGCAGTCTTTGCATCCTAGGGGAGCGTAAGGTCATCTACAAGAGTACCGTTCGTGATAAGGATAGACGGTCCGGTCGACAGCCAAGTATCAAGTGACATGGGTATCTTCAGGATTGTAGCTGGGACGGGACCGACGTAGAAAGAGATCGAAGCCGTGCAGATGTGTTTCAGTGATGCCTGCGGCGCCGGGGATTGTCGAGCGCATAATCCGGTCGTTGATAACTACTGACGCAACGCCGGTAAGAACAACTAGTTGAAAGACTTAGTCGGCGAACTACCTGATATCAGCATGCTCGAAAGGTCATAAAAGACTGTCCAGGGCACGATACCTTCACAAATGTCACTAGACGCTCCTCTTGAGTGTCTTGACTGGGCAGTCAACACTGTATCCGAGCGTGGCAACCTAACAAAGGGAGCACTGACATAGACGGTCTTCTGGAGGTGGTATTAAAAAGCTGCTGGAGTTCATGTTGGATTACACTGGGCATACCTACGTTCATATCGCGACCAGATGTAGGCAGAGCCAGCGAATGACGTCATCGAACCTTAAAAGCCAGTGCAGAGTCGCACGCAACGTAGATACATGCAGGAAATTACTACAAATGCTAAACATCAGTTCCGCGTCGTTTACACGGTAAAGAGTATTGTGCACGCCACGACACGCAGTATTGATGGGGTACCAGGTGGCCGGTCTGCTGATGTACATGGCAGCGCGAGCCGGAAATCATCCAGGATTGACGACGCGCTTTGCCATTGGCTAGCGGAACACTACTGTTTCGGTGTATCAACAAAATGCGATGCATGTGAAATTTTGGGATGACGAGTCGGTGACGGTGTACTTGGGCATGATTCAAAAGTTGGTTGATGCTGTTTCAGATGGCGTGATGTCATTGAAGTTGGAGATAGCGTTCCTTTTATTCGCTCTTTCCTTCGCGGTCTCAGCATCCGCGCAATCCTATTTCCCGCATCAGTGAAAACATGTCTGAAGTGACGAGGCATTCCGAGCGACTCACCAACGGAGATGATGGAGTGGTGAGCTCAATTCGTGACGTGCCTGTCACCGAGCAACGAAGACCGTACATAAGCACGAAAGGCTCAAAGCTTCAACACACCGGTATGTTTCCATTTTTGAATAGTTCAACAGCCAGATCGCTAACATGAGCAGGTACCGCCCGTGCAAATCTTGCCCCATCAGCAGAATCTCCCCAAGGCACCAAAGGCTGGGCAGAGCAGCATTCTCACCAGACTGTTCTACAACAACATTGCGACTTCTTTGATCGCGACCACGATGGAATCCTCTGGCCACAGGACACATTCGTAGGCTTCTATCGTCTCGGATTCGGTGTCATTCTATCCATCATCGCGGTGTTCGTGATTCATGCGAACTTCTCATACCCTACATGCGAGGGTTGGCTGCCTGACCCGTTCTTTCGTAAGAAACCCAAGCCACGAACTGCATTTGAGACAAATCCTGACTTATTGCGCTAATCCTCTAGGTCTGTTTCTTAAGAATGTGCATAGGGATAAGCACGGCAGTGACACCGGGACATACGACCACGAAGGGCGCTTTCTGCCACAGAAGTTCGAAGACATATTCGCGAAGTATGCCGAGGGGAGGGACTACCTAACGATCTGGGACGTAAAAAACGTGCTCACAGGGCAACGGTGCATTGCTGATCCGATTGGTTGGGGTGGTGCCTTTTTTGAATGTAAGCCGTGTTACCAGTGCGCTCTGTAGGAATTGATGCTGACGAACTCAGGGATTGCCACGTACATAATGCTTTGGCCTGAAGATGGCCGAATGATGAAGGAAGATATTCGTGGCATTTACGACGGTAGTATATTCTACACTCTTGCTGCGAGACGAGAGAAAGGCTCGTGAATAATGGTTGCTCGCTACGTGATACACTGGATGAGGCTGAGGCATTTCGCTGAACATAAGCCCCTGGCCTCTTGATCGACTGTTGGCGCGGAGGATACATACTGATTGCTAGCCGTGTAGAAGCTAGACAGAGACCGATGTAGTAGATATAGGAAATCAAGTGAGAAGAGAAGTCTGCAGCGCGAAGAAATGTCGTCTTGATCTAGAGCGCACCGAGTGCTGTCATATCAGCTGTGAAGCTTGTCGGTAGCACGCTTCAATATGGTGACCGTGTCCTGCGCCAGATGTCCATTGTATTCCGCAAAGTCTTCATCGCGTACACGTATATGGCATGTATTTTTTACAACTTGGCGCCGACGACACTACCGCCGTCCAGCGCGATAGTAGCACCGTTGACATATGATCCGGCTCGGCTCGATAGCCAAATACATGTACCCGCAACATCCTCCGGGCTGCCAATGCGTCCTAATGGTATCCCGCTCTCGATAACGTCCTTAAACTTCTCCAATGTAGCCTTCATCATCTTGCTTTGGAAGGGACCGCACGCGATCGTGTTGCTGGTGATGCCGCGCTTGCCGAGGTGGCTTGCTAGCACTCTGCTCATGTGGTGGAGACCAGCTTTGGAGGCGGAATAGGCAAATGTCTCGAGGGCGGGGACGCGCAGACCGTCGACGCTACCGATATTGATGATGCGGGCGGGAGATGTAGGGGTCGAGGCGGCTTCGAGGAGGGGCGTGACGGCTTGGGTGAGCTGGAAGACGCGCTTTAGGTTGAGGTTGAGGACGCGGTCCCACGCGGCGGAGGGATAGTTATCGTAGGACTCGCCCCAGTTGCTTCCGCTATTGTTGACGATGACATCAAGCTCTGTACATTGTTAGCGACTGCTCATGGTTTCGCGACAGTGGCGTAGATGGCAGCTCGTGGGTGACTTACTGCCTGCTCTCTTCTTCAGCTCGTCGGCTATGTTCTTTGCTGCATCTTCCTTGTACAGATCGGCGGCAATAAAGTCGGCCTTGCCCTTCCCAAGCGCGTTCAGTTCCTTGCACGCTTCCTCACAGGCCTTTGCGTCGCGCGAGGAGATGTACACTGTAGCGCCATTCTGGACGAAACCCTCGCTGATCATGCGGCCAATGCCTTTGGCGCCGCCTGTGACAAGGACGACTTTGCCCTTGATGAGAGTCAATAAAATGATCAGATGGGAATTGCAGGTACGTACCTTGACATCGAAGAGTGAGCTGTTATCCATTTCGATGGTCAGTATAGGTCAAATGAGGAGTGCAAGCGTCGTAAGGAGAAATATGGATAGCCATCGCGACACACGGGTAGATGTTCGTCATCGGAACTTGCCCCGGATGTTGGAAGCTGGGGGTGAGCCGAGGCTCGGTGCATCGTTCTTCCGCACCGCTCTCTGAACTCATGGCCTCACATCGACAAAACATCACGAAGCCTGATCATCTTCAACACATTTTCAGTTTCTATTAGTATCTACATCTAGTCCGCTGATCGACCTCAGCGTATGCTCAGACTTCAGACATGTCTTCAGGAAGTACTCGTATGCGACAGGCTCATGTATGACCTAGGTCAACTTGGTGTTGATCATGGTCGTCATCGTCGCGAGACTGTCACCCAGCTCATCAATCTCATCATCCCGAACCCTCAAGATGCCATCGAACAGCTGGTCCCTGGTGACGTAGAATGTCCTCTCGTCAGCCACGGGACGATGTTTCTCGTGTACCGTCCTTGGATGAGGAAGTGATGCATCGATAGGCCGCATGAGTGGCATGACGATACCATGCACATCATCCCATCCCACACGCGAGAGACTAGGATGGTACTCTTTGGGGAAGGGATCGAAGCCATCTTCTTCCTCGTCTTCCTCATTATCTTCTTCCATCTCGTCGACGTTCTCAAGGGCTCCAGCAGTGAGCTCCACCTGCTTCTTCGCTTCCGCCACCTCCCTATCCGCCTCAGCCAACTCCAGATCAGACTGGTTGACCTCGTTGTCGAAGTCGATCGCCTCTTGCTCCTCGCGCGCAAATTCTTCTCGTCCGATAACCCACTGGAAGGCCAGCGTAGGACCATACCGCTCAAACGTCTCTTCGTCAATGGTTTCGTCCCGTAGCGCCTTGACAAGGTCGTCGTGCCTGGGGAGGTCTTTCGTCTCAAGTTACTTGTACAGATGTTTGATGCGGGCGATCATCTTGACCTTGTCGCGCTTGCCGAAGTAGTATAAGTCGAAAGGGCCGTTCTTCCAGAACTTGATGAAAGCCTCGCGTTGGGCGAAGATGTTGTCGGAGATGTCGTGCTGATAGACTAGTGACTCTATCCAGGCCTAATTCTTGTCAGCTGGAAGTCAAGGTCATGAGATAGCCAAAAGTCACTCAGGGACTTTTTAAGTGATATAGGAAAGCCAATGAAGGACTGAAGGTGTACAGGCTATCACACGATAAGGACGTTTGAGGAGTTTCGACTTACCTTGATGAACTTGATGATGAAAGGCCCACATGCAGGCTTGCAGTATCGCTCATCGAATCCAGTTGCCCAAAGGAAGGACATGATGATGACGTTCCAGCGGATCTGGTAGCAATGCATAGTGAATGCATGAGTGCTATCCACACCGTAGAACCAGATGGTCCGACTGATGTCAACAGGCTGCGTCTTCTGTGCGACAAAGTTGTCGCTGGCGATGCCGTTGTACATGTAGAAGTAGAAGTCAAGCTGGATATCTTGAGGAACGACAGGTACAAGGCTACGCTCAGGGTGAAAGTAGATGTCGAAGAGACGGGGCAGGGGTACGGAGCGCTTGAGAATCTTGAAGGTTTTGATCTCGTAGTTGTGCTCAGCGTCGCGATGCTTGGCGGCAACACCGACGACGTCCCTTTCCCCTCCGGACTGGTGATCATCGGATACATCCACAGTGACCTCGGGGAGATCGCCCATGCTGATGTCATTGTCGTTTAGGTCGTCCATGATGTCGTCGATGGCGTGTACACGGGTGTCAATATACGGACGTGGGTGTTGAGAGAAACAACAAGAAAGCGGGGATATCAGTCGTCAAAACAACGAAAAGGTCCGTGGGTGCAAAATCCGTAAGCGACGGAAAAACTAGATCTGCGGTCAGCCGACGCGTTCTTCCGCTGATTCTGTTGGAGTGAAAGGAGAGGGTGGCGAGTTGCGTACCTGCGACCCTTGTCTGCTCTGCAAACGGGCGTCGGCGACATCGCTAGCGATATCGATGCAGTGCTTGCTCCGACGGGGTACTGGAAGATGGCGTAGGATATATAGTTAGGTGTCAATATGGAAGTGCAGGTCGCTGGCCTATATACATGTCGCGAGACACATTGAACAAGCAGTGAGTGTTTGCGACACCAACAGACTGTGTTTGTTAGAAAGAGGAGCTCGCATCAAATGATAACACCACGGTCTGTCGACCTGATCAGCTAAGACTCCTGTTTGTTGCTCAAACGAACGCCGATGACAAGATGACATGCGTGAAGGACGAGCGTGTTACAGAAACTTGAAATCGACGCAAGGTGGAGAAATAGTTGATAGTGACGGTATAAGATGACATAGTGAGCCTCAAAACGAGAGCTGTGTTACGAGAGACATGCCAAAGTCCGCGCGCAGGATTAGCGCGGAAGACAGATACATCGTAGACCTATCAACTTTTAATCAATCCCAGTCCCTGACAATGAACGCCTGCGTATCATCTCCTGCTCATCTGTCCCTGAGCATGTCTCTATATCGCCGTGCAGTCGCCTGAACCTCCCTCTTAATGGAATTGTCATCCTCCTCTTCCTCATGCGCCTCTTCGTCCTCTTCTTCGTCCTCCTCGTCATCGTACCGCTTATCACCATAAACGTCATGCCAATTATTTCCACCGTAGCGCCATTCAAGGTCACTATCAGGAAGCAACGCACGGAGGCTTTCCAGTTGCCATTGTACACTCGTCAACTCCGTACGCAACAGCCTCACTTCTCGCCTCTCACTCCATACGTTCTCTCTCGAGGCCTTCAGCTGCCGCTTCTCATCAGCCAAGTCTTTCTCCAATGCCTGATGAAACTCTTGCAATCGAGAGATCATGTTATCCCTTTCCTTGACGTCGCGCTTGAGTTGCGCATTCTCCCTGACTACGCTGCGTATGCGCTCTTTGCGTTCATTACGCTTTTGGTCCCGCGTGAGGATGGATTGGGGGGCATCTGCCCCACGCTCAGCGGGTGCTGTAAGGTCTTTGGGTGCTCTAGATTGTGGGTTAGTCAAAATCAAGAAAGGAGTTTTGACGGTGCGTAAAACCTTACGTGTAGGGTACGCCATTGCACACATCGTGGTTTTGGGATGGTTTCGCCATGGGCTCGAGGCATAGCCTCTTGGAGGGATGCATTTTGAGTGAGAATGTAGTTGTGAAGACGTGCGAGTGCAGAATTGGAAAGGGTTCACGACCCAACCCGGTACCATAGACGGGGTATGCAGGGCACCAACGAAGCGGTAATGATAGTGATAGTAATAACCATATCCTCATTGAGTCTACATATCCCATTCCAATCATAACCTCATCATTCATAAGTATACCAACTCTTTTTCAGTTCCCTCATCGCATCCTCTGCTTCCTTCCACTTCCTAGTCCCCTTTTCCGCGTCGCCCATCCACGTCATAATATGTTTTCTGTTTCTCATATACTTGGACTCTGCCCTCTTTCTCTCCTTCGCTTGGCTCTTCAGGTAAGAAAAGTCGTCGTACCTGACAGCTTCCTTCCAGACGTCACGCATCCTCGGGCTCCACAGACAGCAGCTTGATCCGACATCGGGGTCTTCGCCGGGAACTAGCTGGATCGACTTGTTGAACATGTGCGGTATGGACGACGACGTGGATCTGGACTGTGTGGCGGGCCAGATGAGCTCGTCGTAGCATTGCTCACAGACTGTGAACTCTGGTAGCGAAGGGATGAAGTGCCATGGTTTGCGGAATAAGATCTTGTACCTTTGGCACTCGCCTTTGTAAGAATTCTCGCGGAGCAATAGGACGAAGCGGCTCAGATCAGGTAGTTGACCGGACAATTCAGCCTCGGCGTCTAGCTCGACGAGCAGATCTAGATACTTCGGGAATCGAGTTGAGCTTGTACGCAAGCTGCATACGTGCCTGTCGTCCTTCGGCATCTTAGCGAAGCAACCACGAAGAGAAGGCAACAAGGCCTCAAGCATCCTCCTGTCGCTCGAGCATATAGCAAAGTTGGCTACACGAGTACCGTCGCGTGGATTTGTAATGCCGTACCAGCTAATGCGGTCTTCTGCACCAGCCTCACGATCTCCAGGACACGGTTTGGCTACTGTGTCCATGACACCTGCAATGGCGTAGATCAGATCGAGCGATTTGCGACCTCGCTGAAGCGTCAACAGCCATGCAAGACGTGCCCATGGGCTGCTGAAGTCACAGCTCCGCTCCATCGAATAGTCGTTCAACCATATCTGTCTGAAGTCCACGTCGAAGGGTGTACCGGCGAAGACACCGTCGTAGCAACTAGGGCAGATGTTGAAGTTCTTGTTGTCTTGGAGCGCGTACCAATCATCGTAAGGCCCAGATTTGTAAGGTCTTGGGCAGTCTGGAAGTTTTCTGTCCATTGAAGTAGTCCTTCGGGATGATCTGTCACGGCGACCGTCGTGAGAGCGGAAGCTACCCGACCTGGACCTCCTTGGGCGTACCGGCTCCTCCAACGTCTCAGTGTCTTGCCTTCTGGCCCGGGAAGGTAGGTCTCGCGTGTACGGCGAGCTAGGAATTGACGGCGACGTCGCTCTGGGGATGTCCACGTAGCTTTGTCTCGGCGAACCGACGGTTGAGTGATCAAACTGATAATGCTCTTCGGGTGGCATAAAGACGTCAATGAGTTGGTCGTCAATTGGGTATGGTAAAGAGTCGCCGGTCGATTGCCTTGCAGGAGACGGGCTGTGCACATCGATGCGAGGCCTCGGAAGTGGCATGGTGTCATGTCTGCCATATCGAGAAGGTTGTCTTGACCTGTCGTTGGAAGGTGCTGGAGGATAGGTGGAGTGCCAATCTGACTCGGATACGGGTACGCGACCGCGGCCGGGCGAAGAAGGTTGGAACGAAGAAGCGAGCGGAGAGGTCGGTCGAGGGCCACCGCGGGACGATGGTCGAGAGCCTGGAGGGGAGTCCCGCAGTCGGGTAGGCAGCTGAGGCGAGGGCGCTCGATACGATGGCGAGCTTGGTCTGGACAGCGGGCGTGAGCTGTTAGCATAGACAGTATCTACGGGCACCGGCCTCGATCTCCGCGTGCTGTGCACCGAGGAGGAAGACGACCGCGGCGACTCAGTATTGGAGTACTCCTTGTATGAGCCTGACGAATCACCCTTACGTATCGTCGGCAGGGGACGCTGCCCGGAGTCGTGTCGACGCGGTTCAGGCCTGTCCTGTGTATCGCGCAGGTTTGTCCTCAGATCCTCCCTTTGTAGATCGCTCTTCACGAAGCTGTAACGCGCGGGCTTTCGTTCGGTTCGCAGGTGGGTCGTGCTGTGCGCTTCGGAGTCAGAGTCAGAGTCGAATACGTATTCTTTCTTTGACGCCGGCGACGTGTAGGAATTGTGTCGGCTTTCAGTTGGCATCGGTCTCGACGGTCTGCTTGCATCTGACCTGGGATGGCTGCTGTGTGATGGGGTAATCGGATCTGGCGAGCGCATGTAGTCGGCCGTAGGGGAAGGCGCCGTGGATTCCTTTTGGGGCTTCGAGTAGCCATAGGGGGCCCTCACGCGCTCAGTAAAGACGGGAGGGTCTGGGACGTCGGTGTTGATGTGCGACATGCCCCCACGGTCAGCAAAGCTGCGTCGGCGCCGATCCCGAAGCGTGCTGCCATCGTCATCGGTGCTGGATTCGGAAACAAGCACATAGCGGCGGTCGTGTTGTGCGACGCTCGGCTGCTCAATCTCGTCGAGCAGGGAGTCTTGGTCGACGGTGCCCCGCGTGTTGCTCGGCGGCTCACCCTCGGCCTGCCCTGGCGACCCCACGGAGGACGGCGCCTCTTTTGCTAGCGCCTCCCTCTCATCCTCGACGCTCGGTGACGGCGGCCATGTCTGCTCCTGCCTGTGCGACCTGTACGAATGCGGCGCGGGTCGTCGAGGTGGCAGGGGTGGAGAAGTGCGGGGCTCATAGGTGTAGGTGTTGTAGGACGAGCTGTAGGACGAAGTGTATGGATTGCTCTGGCGCATGTCTGCCAGCTGCTCGCGCGCCTCAGCTAGAGTCTTGTCGCTCCTCGCATAGCCATAGGGGTCCGTCTCTCTTGATGTATAGTGGGAGTCATGGCGCGGGCGGTGGTGGTACCGGCTGTCGTATTCGTAAGACATGTATGGGCGTACGTGAGCGAGGGTCAGGCGAGCAGTGAGAGACTAGGCAGTGGCTTTGGCGAGCATGCAGCTTGGGCAACTAGCTAGGGCGGCTTCAAGAGTATCAAGACGAATATGGCGGAGAGGGCAGGTTTACATAGCGCGGCAACAACGGCCATGTTGGATGTACAAAGATGCTAGGTGACGCATGTAGCCGTCTGTGAATTGCGGGTCGCGGCTTCCTCGCGCCTTCGCCCTGCACCATCCCCACCGCCGGTAAAGCCCTATTTGCTCGCTTCCCGTCCTCTGTTCAACGCCCACCGCCTGTTCGCACATCTTCGCCTTGCTGAGAGATCTGGGTTATTCCTTGGAAGTATCGTCACGGCACAGTCGTCTTCATCGCATTTGCTCGTGTGAATATGCAAGTGTTGGTACCTGTACTATCGCAGTGTCGTATCAAGCATCATAGTTCCCTCTAGCACCTTCTGAACCCTTGTCCGAGCAAAAATAGCATACGCCGTGATGCTACTATACAGTTGCACTATGACTTCATGGTACCTGAGCGATTCTTTTCTTGTATAGATCCAATAGTTACATGCCATATTATGGCCATGGTTTGTGGTGCATCGACTGTAGATCTGCAAATTTGGGAAACCGCTACCTGCCCACATGCAAATATAGAACACGACCCTTCAAGAACATCATATACCTATCTCCATATAATCGTGATACATACAACTACCTCTCGCCCATGTCTGCTTCAAAGGCTTCCCTCTTCGCACGACCGGCAGCCTCCGGAACAGCGGTAAACGGCACTCAGCACAGCCACACGGCCTGCAGCCACCTTACTAGCCTCACCACGTGCCTCGCCAACTTTCCATCTCTACATCACAATAAAGAACATGATACCACACCATGCGCCTACGGTCAAACTTTCCGGGCGCAAGAAACTGACCGTTGTCTTCAGCCTCCATCCGGCCACGGTTTGCCTCGCGCCTCCATTCCAAGTATTCTACTACCTGCACGACTGAACCGACCGGTACGCAGAACCACAAGCTCACAACCAAGTGAACCACTCACCGGATATGCGGCTCTGCTCGTACTCAAAGAACCATACTTTCTCGTAATCACGAAACTGAGTCGTTGTAATCAAGCCAGGCGCGTGATGCACGTAGCTGCAGGCAGAAAGTGGCTGTGCAAGGCGTTCCCGGAACCCGCCGAAGACGGAACACTGAACCACCGATATATATACAGTCGCAGGAGAGACTCGGAATCCTGCAACCTTACCATGCCAAAAGATACAACTATCTCTGTTAAATCCGATGATTCCACTTGTTCTGCCTGAACTGGTGCGAATCAGTGTCGTAAACCCGATAACTCCATCCTGACACGTTGTGTCCGCGGCATGGATACGCCCCGTCCTACCTAGGTATGGTATGCTGTAGCAACAACTACGTATATAAGCTGTAGAGAGAAAGTAAAACTGCATATGACTCAAATACCAGAAGAAGCAACAGCAGTCAACCAACAAACCTCATTGACTTAATCCCAAACATGTCCGCCCCCACTCCCACCGTCAACCTCCCCAACCTCACAACCCACCAATCCATAACCGACACCCTCCACCGCCTGACCCTCGGCCTAGACAGCAACGATCGCGCCCTCGTAGAATCCGCCTGTCACAAAACACCCCAAATGACATTTACCTACGGGCCGCTGGGCGCCCAACAAACCGTCACGGGGTTTGACGCAATCAATCCTTTGTTCGATCGCGTCTTCAACCTCATCACTACACATACAGTGAGCAATGTGAGGATAGAAGCGGAGAGCGAGAATGCGACCTTCGCGCGCATGACGGCGCATGTCATTTCGTACCATGTGAGAGAAGAAGAGGCGTTCGTGCCGGCTGATACGAGTTATACGGCGAGTTCGCTGTACGACATGCAGCTGCTCAAAGACGACAACGACGGAGGACTGTGGAAGATCACGACGTGGAATGCACGGATGTTGTGGACAACGGGAGATATCAAAGTTTTGCATCCATAAAGACATAATTTGCATATATCGACTATATAGAAGGAAACTTTTCTTTCGTCTCATTCTTCCAGGTGTCTTCTTCTTTCCGTTAAGGGTTTATATCGTAAGGAAATATCGGTTACATAGTAGATCATATCGCTAATCCAGACGCCGGCGCCGAACCAACATGTCCCATTAATCGCTATTTTCGCACAGACGGACCAAAATGTCGGGCGCACTTGTGTGTCGTAAACACATGTACATGGGTATCAGAAGCAGCTTGCATAGAGTCAAAGGGGGAATTGAGAAGAAATCGCTCGGATGGGAATTCGGGTTAAGAAGATAGGAGTGTGGCTGGATAGTTCGTCGCCGCACTTAAAAGTAATTGCCCTTGGGGATGGCGCAGAAGATGCCGACAGCGACGGCGGAGATGAGAAGAGCGCCGAGGATGGCTTGGATGAAGATGGTATCCTGGATCTGGCGGAGAGCAGGCTCTTGAATCCAGACCTCACGGTCAAACACCTTCCTCACGACATTGCGCTTCTCGTAGCGGGCGACCCATGGCTCGTCTTCCCAGGAGTTGCTCGACGCGTGCGAGTCAACGCTCTGGAAGGAGTCGGACTTGAAGTCGTAGCTTTGCGGCTCGTCATCGGAAGCGAAGAGCTCCCATGGTCGCAGATGTCGGTGGTGCATGCCGTGAAGAACGACACACATGCCCTTCCAGGCTGCAATCAACGTCGAGATACCAATGAAGAAACCGATGAGGGAGATGACACGCCATGCACGACCGGCGCTGCTGAGGGTGAGGATGATCGCAACGATCAAACCAGCAACTATGCCGAAGATACCGAGGCCGCGGGCGAAGATCACACGCGGACGGTTGCCATTGCATATGGTCCACCGAACAAAGTTGGGGTGCGCTTGGCAACGGAGCGACCACTCGACGGTGGTGATGATGTCGGTAAATGCCGACGGATGGGTCGTATTTTGCAGAGCGTGCAGCAGTGCTGTACGCTCTTTCGACGAGAGGTTCAGCTGTCGCGAACCATTGTCGGCAATGTAGATGGAGATGATGCGATTGATCTCTTCCCGGTAAGGCTGGACGGATACTGTGGTGGATGAGCGATTGGACCCTAGAGGCGAATGAAGAAAATTAGCAAAGGTAATACTCACGTGGTTTCCACTTTAGTCCTGCGTTATCAAACGCACCAGCAGCACGTTGAGTGTGGTCAACTTTGCCGGTAGTCATGCTATCATCGTACGAGTCAAGGGAGTAGTCGCGCCTGGGTTCGACGCTGGTTGGCGTGCGAGGAGGCGTGAAGAAGGGATTGTTGCTACCCTTCTCCGAATCAGCGACCTTGCTTTCGTTGGCGAAGTCGGTGCCCTTGAGCATGGCTGCAGCGTCGGCATTGTAGCTGACGGTGCCGGGCCTGGCTTCGGGGGTCTTTTCGCCAGTCCACTCGGGAGACAGAACCCTCTCGCTTTCCGGCAGCGCATTGAAACGCTTGACGTAGTCGCGGTACCAGAGGAAGAATTGCAAGTTCTCGGCCGACAGCTCGATGTACTTGAGGAAGTTCATGAAGTCGCGGACAGTGCAGGGCTGGGAAGTGTCAGTGAAGGTGCTTGGAAAGATGATGCTCATGACAGTAACAACGTACAGGGCAAGCGCCGCCAGCGATGATGGTGTCAAAGGACAAGGCCTCGGGAATACCGTGGGACATGCCGCTGCTGCCGGACTTGATGGATGCATTGATCGACTTTCGCTTGTCTTCGGTGTTGGTGGAAGAGGCAGTGCCGGGACGAGGAGCTCGCTCAGGGCGGCGATAAGATAGTGAGTAGACCATATTAGGCAGGATCTGGGGTCGAATCTAATCGCGGAAGGAACGTGGTGTTGCGGGGTGACGACAGCACGTAGTCAATTGGTGAGATGGCAGGAGCAACCGTTCACACGCACCGTGCCGCGCGTGGAGATGGAATGCTATATACCTACTCGGCCGATGGGGCGAGTGGAGTAGTGAGACTGAGCTAGCAGAAGATCTGGAAGAAAGCTACTTGCGTAGTCGTCCAGTAGTCGAGCGCTGAGACCGATTGCCGCAGGGCAGGGTGGTAGCGTGGATCTGACTAGTGAGGGCGAGCAAAGCTTGGGATGGAGGTAGAGGAAGTTTGCGCGTGGCCTCTGGCGAGGTAAAGTAGAGAAAGCAAAGTCACGGTCGAGCAGCGGTGTTTATACCCGCCTGCTCGGCATGGCCGTATTCCCACCAAGTCTTCCAGAAAGCGGTCCCTATTCGTGGCAGGCACATGGCTCTCCACCTTCACAGCTTCCTGCCGCCTGCGGGCATTTTCCCAAATGAGCCAGCTGTAGCGTGGGGACGTCAACGCCTGGTCGCACATGGGATCCTCGAGGTCGCCGACAAGTAGGTGCGCCCCACCGCGGCCGTACAGTAGACGGCATCGCGACGGACGGTAGACGCTAGCATGCCGGGACATCAAGATGTGCACTAGGCCCACGCGCCATGAGGAGTCGGCAATCTGGGCAGAACCCGTGTCGATCGTCTGGACCCGGCTAAGCTCCCTTCACAATTGCAAATCTCTACCCTGTTTGCCGGCCTTTTGGCTTTCTACGAGACAGCGTGGCGCCGACGGTCAAATGTCACATTGCGGTGCAGCCGTTGGGAAATGAGGACTCGACACGCCTGCGTTGTCAGATTGCCTTGGTGTTTCAGTGATGCGAGGCATCTCAAGCTTAACGCTCGCAAGTGCGGGCGGAGAACCGAAGCGAGCGACGGTCAAGAAGCTGCTTCGAGAAGCTGCAAGAGTGACGTCCTTTCAGACAGCCACAATGTTGTTTTAGACAGCCACAAATTTCATAATTGTACGCGATCGACGCTGCATGCATAATGCCAGCGAGCAGATGAACGCCAGTAGTCCAATCAGCGGCCGTCAGCGTCCTGATGGGCGGTCAGGATGCGCGCGCCCGGCCTCCGTCGTCACCATGCGTACCAAAC